CCACTTTAAGACTTGTGGACTTCAACTCCCAGAATTCCTCAGCCAGCTTTGCTGGCTGAGGAATTCTGGGAGTTGAAGTCCACAAGTCTTAAAGTGGCCGAGGTTGGACACCCCTGGGCTAAACTCAAAAGGCGAGGCGAGGCTCTCTAGGAAGAGGGTGTGGGGGGGGGTGTACAGGTGTGTGAGTGTGTACAGGTGTGTGCCTTGTTGGAGGGCAGCTCCAGGTAAAGTGTGTGCTTTGCTTTCCTGTGCGTTGCGTTTGCAAAACCGCAGCTAGGGGCCCCAATGCAAATGCTCAGCGCTTGGAAACAGAGCCGTAGCCCTCAGTCTTATATGCCGCTTTACAGCCCTGGGAAAAGGAGGGAAGGCCGAGCCAACCTGGAGCCAGTCAGGATCGAACTGCTGGCTGTGGGCAGAGTTAGCCTGCAATATGGATGGATAGAGATAGATATATAGACAGATATATATAAATAGATAGATATAGATAGATGATAGAGATAGATAGATAGATGGATGGATGGATATGATATGATTGATATGATATGATATAGATAGATATAAATATAGACAGATGCATATAGATAGATGATAGATAGACAGATATAGATAGATAGATATAGACAGATATATAGATAGATGGATAGATAGATATAGATAGATAGATATAGACAGATACATAGATGATAGAGATAGACAGACAGATATATGGATATATAGATGGATGGAGATAGATAGATATAGATAGATAGATAGATAGATATAGATTGATAGAGATAGATGAATATAGATATAGATATAGATGATATAGATAGATAGATAGATAGATAGATAGATAGATAGATAGATAGATAGATAGATAGATAGCATTTAGACTTATATGCCACTTCATGGTGCTTCACAGCCCTTTCTAAATGATTTACAGTCAGCCTTTTGCCCCTCAAAATTTGGGCCCTCATTTTACCGACCTTGGAAGGACAGAAGGCTGAGTCAACTTTGAGCTGGCCAGGATTGAACTGCTGGCAGTCGGTAGAGTTTGCGTGCAATCCTGCATTCTAACCATAGGGAGGGTGGAAGAAAGGAAGGAAGAAAGGAAGGTAGGTAGATAGATAGATAGCAATAGCCCTTAGACTTATATATTCTACTTCGCGGTGCTGTTACAGCCCCCTCTAAGCGGTTTACAGAGTCAGCCCATTTACTCCAACAATCTGGGTCCTCATTTTACCCACCTCGGAAGGTCAGATGATGATTTGGGGGTATGTTCCCACACCCCAGCAATTTGGAGAATTAACATGGGTCGCGCTTGTGTAGCGACTTAGTTCCTAGAAACCCAGTTCAATTTGATATTGGCCCATTATGTTGAGGCAGAAAAGGAGTGAATTCATAAACAGTATGATTTAATATTCCATAGTTGGACTAAGTTGGTTGTGTGAACCCTTGCATTTGTGTGCCGAGTTAAGTCTCCCTGCCTTTTGCAAGAGGGCCCTTGTTTTAACACCTCAGTTTCCCTCCCTTCCCCTACGTAAAACCCTTAGCATTGAGTTAATGTGGGAATTGATCTTGGGTTTATTCAGCAGAATTTAGCCTTAAAAGGGTGGGAGAAGAGAAAGGAGAAAATCTGAGGCCCAGCGCTTGCTCTCAAAAATAATCATTTGGGGAACTTTCAGGATTCTGTCAATATAAAGGAGTCCTCCTTTAAGCCACCATTTGCAGTCACAACTGTGAGGAAAAGGAGTATGGCCACCAGTTCTTCACAAGGCTTTTCAGTCAGAGGGAAAGTTTCTTTTTATTGCAATCAATGCGATAGATAGATAGATAGATAGATAGATAGATAGATAGATAGATAGAT